CAATTTGATTGATTAATAAACATTAGATTCTAGTATATAATTAAAAGAAATAATTGATGGGTGACTAATTTAATCTCCATTATAAATTTATTTGTTATAATTATTTATCTTTTTATTTTATTTTTATTTCTAAATTATAATATTTCTTATAATAAACTTTTACAATTTTTGATTCTTGTTAAATGGTGGTGATATATTTCATATTGTAAGGTGGTCCTTTTGGTTAATGCCAATTACGACCTAACTTTTGGGCTACTCTTGTCAGTTAATTGCAAGCAACTCACAATAATTCAGTGTTTGTCAATTAACTAGTTTACAAATTTACTTTGGTTCTCGATTACTGCACCTACTGTAAATAAATAAAGAAGGCTTTTTACAAAGCTCGTGGGTTTCGATTTATTTCAGTCGTTCATCCTTGTTTACATTCATTGGCCGATTGCAAACTTGCTTTGGTTTATTGCAAAACAACTCAAGTAGCTTGTTTAACAGCCTTATGCCTACAATTATAATAATGCCAACAGTATTTCAGATTAACCTTTGGACGATACTTTATTAACACCTATGAGTTGACCAATGTTAGTCCTAACCTTTGCTTGCTCACTAAAGCAAATCACGTTGCTAATCGTTGCTAACGCTCACTAATTCAACGTTAATCCTAACCTTGCTTACTCACCAAAGCAGATAAAATGTGGCTTTTTACCAAAGCTTCATAATTGTTACCTTTTACCAAGGAACTACTACATTTTGTTGCTTTTATCAATGCGCTTTAACAAGGAAAATAAAAACAACGTTTTTTATTTTTTATTTTATTTTTAAAAGCTTGTTAACGTTTAATAAAAATAATGATTCTATCACAGAGGTTTATTTTATCGGAATGTTAATTATCTATTATTTTCCTCTTACGAGGACCAGAATCTATTCTTTGTTGATCACTGCAATGGAAAATTGAAGGTTTATTATTGCAAAGTAACTTAATCAATATTCTCTTGCGTAAAATATTCATTTGATAATAATTATACACTGACCCGGAATATATATAAAGTACCAAATCCCTAATCGATGATTTTATCATGTATCAGAAACAAAGGAGAGATTGGAATGCACAAGAAAAATATAAAAAAAAACTCTTGGAATGCATATTTATAAAATTTTTTGTGAGCTTTTATATTTTATTAGCCTTTAAAGCAATTTTATTTTTACGTCATTTTGACTTAATGGCAGCGAATTTGACGTAATGGTTCTACAATTTTGATAACGTTTCGTCAAACAACCATCTAATCTATACATAAAACTTGACCGTTTTAGTCCATAAGTATGCTCTTTCTCGGAATCAGTTTTGTATGAGAGCTCATAATAACATTATTTCTATCCCTCAAATATAATAGGCGGATGTTGGTTCCCTTAATGTTAAATAAAATTTGTTACGTGACCAAAAAGTTTTTGCTTGTAAATCTAGGCACAACCAAATCTTTATATAACACTGGGCTATTCTGGTTCTGGATATTAAAATAAATTGGCCGTAATGTTTCCAAATCGGCCACAGTATCATCAAATACTCGTTATTTTATTTTTTTGCACCCATATTGCCTCCAGGCTCTTTATTTTCCTTAAAATGTCTCCTTCTAAATTCGCATCATTAATGTAATAAATTACCCTAATAGTTTAAAACTGAGAATGTAAGATCTTTTACTGTTGAAATGCTTCGCATATGTTTGATGAAGCTTCTCAAAAATAGTTGGATTCATTGGTTTAAATTGTA